GAGACGTAAAGATTGATATATTGGACGACTATATTCGGAGATCGGAAAGGTTCCAAGTGATTCGGGTATTTTCGGGAGTACCGGGGAGTTACGGGAATTCGTATTGGGCCTTAATGGGCCATACGGGAAAGGAGAGGAAGGCCTCAAAGGGTGGCCGCGCCCCTCCCCATGGGCTGGTCCGAATTGGACTAGGGAGGGGGGGCGCCCCCTTCCTTCCTTCTCCTTTTCCCTTCCCTTTCCTTCTCTCCTACTCCTACTACTTGGAAGGGATCCTAGTTCTACTAGGAAAGAGGGAATCCTACTCCCGGTGGGAGTAGGACTCCCCTAGGGCGCGCCATAGAGAGGGTCGGCCCTCCCCCTCCTCCACTCCTTTATATACGAGGGCAGGGGGCACCCCAAAGACACAACAATTGATCTCTTGATCTCTTAGCCGTGTGCGGTGCCCCTCTCCACCATAATCCACCTCGATCATATCGTAGCGGTGCTTAGGCGAAGCCCTGCGTCGGTAGAACATCATCATCGTCATCACGCCATCGTGCTGACGAAACTCTCCCTCAACACTCGGCTGGATCGGAGTTCGAGGGACGACATCGAGTTGAACGTGTGCGGATCATGAAGATGTACGACTACATCAACCGCGTTGTGCTAACGCTTCCGCTTTCGGTCTACGAGGGTACGTGGACAACACTCTCCCCTTCCATTGCTATGCATCACCATGATTTTGCGTGTGCGTAGGATTTTTTTTAAATTACTACGTTCCCCAACAGGGTGAACAAATTACTGTCGAGAAATTGATAGAAAAGTGCAAAGTTATGACGATATCTAAGACAATGATTATGAAATATAGGCATCACGTCCGTGTCAAGTAGATCGAAACTATTCTACATCTACTACTATTACTCCACACATCGACCGACTCCTGCCTGCATCTAGAGTATTAAGTTCATGAAGAACAGAGTAACACATTAAGTAAGATGACATGATGTAGAGGAATAAACTCAAGAAATATGATGTAAACCCCATCTTTTTATCCTCGATGGCAACAATACAATATGTGCCTTACTTCCCCTACTGTCACTAGGAAATGACACCGCAAAATTGAACCCAAAGCTAAGCACTTCTCCCATTGCAAGAAAAACCAATCTAGTTGGCCAAACCAAACTGATAATTCGGAGAGAATTACAAAGGTATCAAATCATGCATAAAAAAATTCAGAGAAGATTCAAATAATATGCATAGATAAGCTAATCATAAATCCACAATTCATTAGATCTCGACAAACACACCGCTAAAGAAGATTATATCAGCTAGATCTCCAAGAACATCGAGGAGAACATGGTATTGAGAATCAATGAAAGAGAAGAAGCCATCTAGCTACTAGCTATGGACCCGTAGGTCTGTGGTAAACTACTCACGCTTCGGAAGGGCAATAGGGTTGATGTAGAAGCCCTCTGTGATTGAATCCCCCTCCAGCAGGATGCCGAAAAAGGCCCCTAGATGGGATCTCACGGGTACAGAAGGTTACGGCGGTGGAAAAGTGTTTTCGTGGATACTTCTGGTGGTTTGGGAATATATGTGAATATATAGGCGAAGGAATTAGGTCTGGGGAGTCACGAGGGGGGGGGGGCACAAGGCAGGGGGGCGCACCCTCCACCCTTGTTGCCGCCTCGTGGCTTCTCCGACTTGATCTCCAAGTATCCTGGGTGTCTTCTGGTCCAAGACAAATCATCGCGAATGTTTTATTCCATTTGGACTTCGTCTGGTATTCCTTTTCTGCGAAACTCTAAACAAGGAAAAAACAGAAACTAGCACTGGGTTCTAGGTTAATAGGATAGTTCCAAAATAATATAAAATAGCATATTAATGCATATAAAACATCCAAAACAGATAATATAATAGCATGGAACAATGAAAAATTATAGATACATTGAAGACGTATCAGGCCTCCCGACTCATAGCCTTTAACAACAAAAGTTCCATACTTGGATATTACTCCCTCCGTCTAAAAATACTTGTCATCAAAATGGATAAAAGCGATGTATTTAGAACTAAAATACATCTAGATACATCTCCTTTTGTTCATTTTGATAACAAGTATTTCTGGACGGAGGGAGTACAAATTTATTCGACTCAAAGACAAGCTTGTAGCCATCTCTACACAGAAGAGATCCGCTAACAAGATTTTTATTGACGGAGGGGACATAATGCACGTTCTTCAGCCGCATGATCTTCCCCGAAGTAAACTTCAGACCGACCGTGCCAACACCACAAACAGAAGCACTTGAACCGTTGCCCATCAGCACGGTTGAAGTCCCTACGGTCTGATAGGACGAAAACATGGAAATATCACCGCATACATGCACATTAGCATCCGTGTCAATCAACCAATCAAGAGAATGACATACTGAAAGAATAGTGGGAAATATACCATACCCAGCATCCTTCATGTCAGTGTCACCAATGACAACATTAGCGGTCTTGCCGGCTTTCCCAAGATGACGCTTGTCATAACGATTAGGGCAACCAGGAGCCCAATGGTCAGGATCTCCGCACACATGACAAACACCTTTCTTATTGTCATTCTTCTTCTTGAAGTTGGTGTGCTGTACAACCTTATTCTTCCCATCAAACTTTGCTTTACCATCAAACTTGCTCTTGTTCTTGAACTTGTGGGACTGGAAGTTTTTCTTCTATACCAGATTGGCACTAGATCCCCCCTCAATACCTCGAGCACATGTGTCCTTTCCTCTCGCCTTTTCTTCTACATTAAGAGTATCAATGAGATCCGGAATAGAAAACTCCCGCCTCTTATACTTCAGTAAGGTAGCAAAGCTCCTCCACGAAGGAGGAAGCTTAGTGATAATGCCTCCGACAACAAACTTGTTCGGTAGCATATAGTTGAAGTGCTCAAGTTCTCTAGTAAATGACTGCATCTCGTGATCTTGCTCAACCACGGAGCGCTCTTCAGTCATCCTGTAGTCATAGAATTGTTCCATGATGTACATCTCAGTCCGGCATCCGAGACCCCAAACTTGGCCTCGAGTGCATCCCACATATCTTTTCTATTGTCAATTGACGCATAAGAATCAACTATGTTCTCACCAAGAACACTCAAGAGAGCACTCTTAATCAGGGTATCCATTTTTCTGAAAAGCTTGTTCCTATTGAGCATCATACTCTCCTTCAGGGTTGCCAAGAGTGGCGTCATAGCAACTCATGGTTTGAAACCATAAGACTGCTCTCACGCGCCACCTCTTATAGTGGATACCCTTAAACATAGGAGGTCTCATGGAAGCAGCAAAACCCCTCGGGGTAAATTGCCTATAATAAGGTTTTTGGATTGTTGGAAATATGAGCAATTTACCGAATGATATTATTAACAGGAATACTAGATAAAACATGACTATTATAACAACGATAAAACAAGTCATGTAATCTGACAAAGAGAAGGTAAATGGCGTCAGCCATGCCGTCGAAGAGGTTGTCGACGTCGGGGAAGACATCGGCTCGGCTCATTCCCGCAATCCACGGCGTGGCGCAACGCGTCGTGACGAGGTGTGGCGTGGTGAGGCGGGCGGCGGAGGAGGAGCGCGCGTGAATGTCCCTCTTGTCCTCATGCTCATACATGTGGGGAAACACCCTCCCTTATAAGGAGGTTCAACTCCCACCAAACTAACAATGTGGGACTAAACTTTGGTTTCACTTCTTGCCTTGCACGAATGGGCTGAGTGGGCCTCTAGGATTTATTAGGAATTTCTGAAATTGCTATTAGGTTGGCCCAAAGTAGACTAAATTCCAGCAGGAAGGACGCCCGAGATGTTGTCCTTGAAGCTGGAGCCTTTGGATACCGACGCCAGAATGATCATGCAAGGCGTCCGCTACAAAGTGTGGCCGCGATAGAAAGATGAGTTGAAGGCGGCGGCGGAGGAGGAGGCGGTGGCGGAGGCTACATACGTGGCGGCGATGACACCTTGAGCATGGAGGAGGCTCGGGTTGCCGATCCGGCAGGGCAGAAAATCTCATTTTTTTGCACGGACTGCCAGACTGAAATTCTTTTGTGATCGGGATCAGGCATGTAAAAAATTTAAGCATACTAGCCACTTTTTGATTGTAATCGGACATGTGATCCGGCGCTGGGGCGATCTCGCGGGCACTATGGATCACACAAGATTTGAACTTCAATTTACTTTTTACTGGCGGACATATATATGATAGCATTTGATGGTCGGCTCCCGCATCAGTGTCCGCGGATTGGTTCCCTCTTAGGCAAACGGATGCCAAAGCAAATTTTGCAGGTCAACGATGGAGATGCCGTAAGACTTTCAATCATGATGATTATACTTCTTACTAAATGAAACTTTTGCAATCAATTCACATAATGTTATTGAGCAAAACAAAACTTTCACACAACATATTGCTGCCCGTGGGGTAGGCAAGACACGCCTTTTTCCACAAACCATCAACGGTGAAAATTCCTGTGAAAATAATAATAATAATAAAGATAATTAAGTTATATACGCGCTGGCTACGTGTCAAGGCATCGTATGTTTGCAACATGGCCTGCGTTACAAACTCATGCCTAATGTTGCAAACTTGTTGGTCAATCTTACCTTGAATCGAACCGCCACTGAGGTGATGGACACACGTGAGTCATCAGCCGGTTGAAAGATAACTTTTTCTAAAAAAATTAACGGTGAAAATACCAGTAAATCGCTGCAAAAAGAAAGGAGAATACTGGTAGTCAGTTAAATGTTTGACACGAACAAAATTCGAACCAAACTCTGACGCCTGACGTGTTGTAATCTAATCGAATCAATCGGAAACTAACTAACCTCTCCTCCTCTGGGCCGCAAGGAAACACCGTCCGGGGTCACCGCCGCTCTTGATAAAATCGGAGAAACCCAGAAAAAAAGGACTAAACGAGATACTGAGAGCCGAAGACCTAAATTCCCTAGAGAAAACTCGCATCGCCGCCGCTGCCTAGATCGCCGGGCGCCGCCATGTCGACCCCGGGCGCCGCCTACTACGCTTCCCTCGCGCGCAAGCAGTACTTCTGCTACCAATGCAACCGCACCGTCCTCATCGCCGCCTCCGCCGCGGCCGCCGGCGAGCTCTCATGCCCCGACTGCCGCGGCGACTTCCTGGAGGAGGTCACCGTCCCTGCCCCCACCATCCTCCCCTTCCCCTTCGCCTTCCCCCCTATGATGCCCACCGCCTCCTCCCCGTCCCGATCCTCCTCGTCATCCGCCGCCGCGCCCCCCTCCAGCGACCTCTCCAACTTCCTCACCAGCATCCTCGACCTCCAGGAGGGCCGCCGCGTTAGGTCCAGGAGCGGGAGCGGGGCCGCCTCGGCCGCTGGCACGGCCACGCCTGAGAACGAGCCGGAGTCCTTCGACCCGCTCGTGTTTTTCCAGAACTACATCCACACCCTCATGGAGGGGGGCGCCAACATCCAGGTGCTCCTCGACGACGCCAGCGTCAACCTCGCCCCTGGCCTAGGCGGCCGTGCCGGTGGGACAAGCTACGGGGACTACTTCGTCGGCCCGGGACTGGAGCAACTCATCGAGCAGCTCGCCGAGAACGATCCCAACCGCTACGGCACGCCGCCGGCTGCCAAGTCCGCCCTGACCACTCTTCCTGACGTCGTTGTCACCGATGCCATGGTTGCGGCGGCAGAGGGCGCTGAGTGCGCTGTGTGCAAGGAAGATTTCTCACCTGGAGATGGGGCCAAGCAGATGCCCTGCAAGCATATCTACCACGCAGATTGCATTGTACCCTGGTTGGAGCTCCACAATTCGTGCCCCATTTGTCGCTTTGAGCTGCCCACCGATGATCCTGATTATGAGGGCAATAAGGCCTCAAACCCACAGTCAGCTGTTGGTATCGCTGCTGCTGCTGCTGCATCTGGGAGCTCTGGTGCTGCTGAGGAAGGAGGGGAGGAGAGTGGGGAGACTGCAAGGGTGGTGGAAAGGAGATTCAATGTGTCATTGCCATGGCCGTTTGGTGGATCGGCAGGTCAAACACCACAGCAAGATGGGAACAATGCCGGTGCTGGCAGTAGCTCACAGGACAGCGGTTCGCAGGATGGAGCTGGTGGCAGTAACAAAAATTGAACACAAATCTGTGATCACTTGGAGGTATTTACATCATATAACACAGCCTTTTGTATCAGGATGCAATTTACTTGGTAGACTAGATTATATCCTGTTCATAACTCTTTGATTGTAGCTGAAATTGCTTCAATTCCTGTTTACTATTCTTTTCTTGACTAGTAGAGAAAAACTACTCATTTTTACAGAATAGTTTGCTAAATGCAATTACATTTCATAATCATAAACGGTTAGGACTTGAAAGCTGGAGATGCTATAGTACAAACTTGACTGCTCACATCAATTTCAGGCATATATCTGATCTGGTGGTTTTGTGTCATTGTAGTATCGGCCACAGTTGCATATGCTTGTTAAGACTTGTATATAAGTTCGTAATAAGCTATTCGTATTAAACAGTAGGAAGCTGTTATCACAATGATACACTACTGAAATTTTATTTGATGAGCAAACCTATCTTCTAATTATAGAGGTTTGTTGGTTTGCTTGAAACATTTCATAACAAATTTCGTAAGAAACAAAAAAAAAGCTGTCGCTGCATTTTGATGTCGTTTATCCTCTCCACGTGGATGATTTAGGAAGAGGACCAACATAGTTTTAACAAGCTGATGCAGATCTTAGGCGTGGTCAGGGATGAGCTTCGCCATTGGTGCGCACCTGGGAGCCCTAGACATCTAAGTTCCCATGGTGGCTCCAGTTAATCATCAATGCACAAACCTTATAGGCTAACACATTTTCGTTCTGGCCGTTTTCTCTTTTATTTTTGACTAGATAGTTGCCTGTGTGTTGCAACGGTGGAATAAATATTATAGTAGAGATTTACCTGCCCATATTTGGTAAGAACTTATTAGCTTACCAAAGAAAACAGAATTTTATTCGGCAAGTCAATAAATGGTGGGGCAGGGAGGCGGTCTTCAGGGAAGACCGATAGAAAAACCAGAGATGGGAGGGAAAAAATTAGAAGAGGGAGAGGAAGGAGGGGATGTACGTAAGGTTGGACGAAGGAGGACCGGACAACAGAACGACGTCTTCTTTAAGTAGGAGAGATTTTTTTTTTCGTTTTTGGTTTGTACTTTGGGTTGGCTGAGTATATTGGATGATCTAGACTCGAGTCTCATCCACGCTCACACATCTAGTTTCACTAGCTGTCTTAGAAGATCATATGTGTTGATTAGGTTCTTTTAATGAGGATCCTATCATTCTGCATATATAAGCAGAAGAGGGCCTTGAAATTTCACCGTTCTCAAATCATTTGTTATCAGTCAATCCAGACTTTAAATAGACCAATAAATTTACGTATAGATTTCAGGAATTCAAAACATCTCTTCTTTTTTCTGCAATTCTAGTTTATTTAGTTAAGAGGCTGTTGCTTTCAAGTCAAAATGTCAGCCATGAATCATAATGCCATTTATGTTCTCTCAAGTGTGATAATTTTGTTGACTGCTGTGGCTGTCACTTTTACCATCTCTCCAATGAAGTCAGTAGGTTGTCGAGAGACTTTGTCATACGCGAGTGTAAGTGCATGGCCTCTCACATGAGTTTATTTTTACTTTGTTGGGTATTACATTAATTTTGTTAGTTTGGATGCTTCGCTTTGGTTAGTTTCTTTCGAACAGGTAGATATGATTATTTGATAGCAGTTACGCCAAGTCATTCGTACAAAAGAGGTTTGGACTGTATCTTGTTTGATCAAGCGAAACACAACAGTTTTGCTCAGAGCAGCAACTCATGTAAGACGCCTTTTGTCCATTCAACCAGCTAGCAGCGAACCATGTAGGGGATATTCGGAAATTAAATAGGAATAGGGAGAGATGCCTTGCCTTGTCTGAGGCTTCTAAACTTCTGATACTTTTGTCAGGTTTGGTGCACACAACTGTACATTGATATGGGCCCTTCCTTTGCACAACTCCTATTCAAATCTGCCTCTTGTGTACATCCCTTGTTTGGATGCATTTGAGGATAGAATTTGTTGATCCCTCCTTGATTTGTTTAGATTGACTGGCCAAATTTTTTACAGTTGCTACAGACTTTTGTGACCAGCCAGATAATGGTATAGTTCATTCTGGTTCTGACAAAATATGTAGCAGAGACATCAAGATAAGGTGCTCTGTTATTAGTTATTAGGAACTTTGTATTCGTCCACTAAGAAGTTGAGAACCTTGTCATCAGCATAATTATGTTCTCATAAGTTTCCAACAAGTTATCCACCCAGGTATCAGTCCCTACTCCACAAGAGGACCATAGTTATCTGTCCCTACTCCGATATCATTTCCGGAATGTTTGCTTTTTGTAAGTGTCATTTTAGAACAAAAATGGTGAACAGATTAAAATATGCATCCCTTTTCAAGATTTTTTTGCATATATTTAGAAAAGTGTTTTTTTTTTCATCTCTTGCATATTCTCATTGGGTTCTACTTCAGTTTTCAGTTATAGTGACCATGATCTTCATGCCTGCTGTTTTGTTGGTTGTTGGTTTGGCTGTTGAATGATTACACAGTAATATCTTACAAAGTACTCCCTCCGTCCGAAAATACTTGTCATCATAATTGATAAAAAGGGATGTATCTAGTACTAAAATACATCTAGATACATCTCCTTTTATCCATTTTGATGACAAGTATTTCCGGACGGAGGGAGTATGATTCATGGCTTCAATTGTTGAAGAATGCTCAAATGCATGTTCTGTGCAAATTTCTTTGATGTCTTCCCTTCAGGCCCGTTTGGTTAGAAACCTGTTTTTCTAGGTTCAGATTGCATTCACAGTCTCCATTGTTTCCTTTGTATTTTTTTCTGTGACTCCTCTGGCAGCCGCTTTATTGGACTGTCCTGGCCACTCATCTCTTATGTGTTGTATCCATCATTCGTCAATTAGCCATTCAAGGATATAGCTATTGACCACATTAGTGCCTCACTATTTTCTTCAAAAAAAAGTACACCTTGTAATTTACAAATAAAAAGTTTTTCCTTCCACTTTGCAACGTGTATACTCCCTCCGTTCCGAAATAATTGTCTTTCTAGAGATTTCAACAAGTGACTACATACGGAGCAAAATGAGTGAATCTACACTCTAAAACATGTCTACATACATCCGTATGTTGTAGTCCATTTGAGATGGCTAGAAAGACAATTATTTTGGAACGGAGGGAGTAGATGAAATCAAAGATTCATCTGCTTCATCCATGAGCTCTTGTGTAATTCATCGGTCAAACACAGAGCTATATTGTACCTGTGATATTTGAATAGCTTGAACACTTGAGCTTTATATATACTGTTCCTAGACTGTCGTAGAAAGAAGATGTTACATCTGGTTTCCTGCAAAACAAAACAAAATGAAAAACATGCTACATCTGGTTGTGTTCAATGCGAACTTTGGTTTCTGCATCTATTTTTTTGTCGACACCCGCCAGTTTTGCTTCTTTCCTGTGCATTGATGAAGTTATATGGCTCTCTCCTCTTTGCCAGTACTCGGAGGCTCCTGTTGCCCCTTCCCCTTTCCAAGAGTAGCAGCTACTAACAACAATCTTACTATCTGCATGCAGGTTCCCTTGTCGGCGATGCGTCCAGAGGTCGACAATGTTGATGCGCCACCGTGAGTTATACTACAGACAATCGAAAGACCAAAGGAATTTACAGCCTGTTTATTTGGTGGAACAAAACAATGTTGGTTTTAGTTGTCGTTGTCGCTGTCCGTTAGGCTGTGTACGCAAGGCACAGAGACTGCCGTGGCAGGAAGTTGTGCATTGCGTAGACTCTTTGTGCAGATTTGTTAAATTGGTTCTCGTTTATGGACCCCAAACCTAGCTAGCTTGCCTGTGTCGTGTGGGGTTGGTTGAGATGAGATATTGAGATGGGTGCTCCTTGGCGAGCAAGGTTAAGAGGAAATAACGTGTGTTTTGCAGGGAATGCGCAGCACACTTCGATTGTTCCCCGTGCGTGGTCCCGACCGCTTGTCGAACAGATACGTAGAAACCGCGTACGGGCTAAAACCTCTAGGAAAACACGGCGCCATGGGCAGGCGGGGCTTCCTCTCCCTGCACCACATTAGCCGTGGTCGTCCTCCAGTGCGCGAGGCTTGGCGTCCCTGACCTTGCACCTGTCATGCCGTGTTAGTGGGTGGGTTTGGAGTCTCACGCCTGCCTGCTAGCACTTGACGCCAATGACGACCTAAATGAGGCGCTCCTTTCCCTACTCTGACTAGACGGCGTCAAAAGGCCTATCTATCTAGTTTAATCGCAATGAACTAGAAATGCAAATGTCGAATAGCGATATTGCCTATCTATCTAGTCTATACGCAGTGAACAAGAAATGCAAATATTGAATAGTGTTATTGCCTATCTATAGTCTACCAATGCAAACGTCAGTTCTCGGCATTTTAGTCGCTAATTATAATTATATGTATGCGAAAATAATAATTATATGTATGCGACATTCTACTGGCTATTTATAGGTAGAAACGACGAATTTCCCCCTAAATATATCCTTTTTTTAGGTAAAGACCCCACCTTTATTAATGCATGATGTTTATGGGGATAATTACAGAATAGCAAATCTAGCTAAAGCATGAGCCTCAAAATTGCTCTTTCTACTCTCAAAACGAAACCTGCATGCTTCAAGTTCCTTTCTGGCTGTTATCTCCTTTATTATGGCTGCATTTGTTCCTCCTGTATCTTTTATAACTGATTGGCAATCGGACGCAATCAGCAGGTGATGTTCATCTAGGTCCAGAGCCAAAGACAAAGCTTCCGTACAAGCCAAAGTTTCGAGCGTTGGTGGGTCTGTGATCGCATAGACCATTGCTGAAGCGCCAAGGTACATGCCCCGCCCGTCCCTGCATACAACAGCGGCAGAGCCCCTTCCATTATGTGCAGAAATGGCAGCATCGACATTGAACTTTGAGAATCCCGTAGGTGGAGGAACCCATGGTTCGCGAGCATTGCGGGGAGCTACCGGGTTTG